TTCTTACTCCAATGTTCCATGTTTGTTCACCAACAACCCATGTTATATTCCACAGACGATAGCCGCATCGCGTTTGTCTGTTCGCTTCTCACTGGAAGGGCGTTGGAGTGGGCTACGGCAGTGTGGAATGAGAATCAGGCAGTCTTTCCTTCCTTCTCGGCTTTCATCCAGCAGTTCAAGGAGGTGTTAGAACATCCCATGGATGGAAAGGAGGTGGGTGAGCAATTGTTGTCGTTACGCCAGGGCAGAGCATCGGCGTTGGATTACGCTCTCTCGTTCCGCACTCTCGCCGCACAAACAGGTTGGCCGGAGGATCCTCTCAAACTACACTTTCGCAGAGGTCTGAGCATGGAACTGCAAACGGAATTAGCCTGTCGAGACGAGGGGAGATCCTTGAATCAATTCATTGAACTGGCCATTAGGATCGATAACCTCCTTCGCTCTCGTCGTCAGACGGCGCGTCATCACCACTTCCTGACACAGAACCTATGCAGATTGGCTTTACTCATCTCAGAGGAGAGGAGAGAGAGAGACGTATTCGCCAAAATCTGTGCCTATACTGCGGACTGTCTGCACCCATGTGAGCTTCCTGTCCCACTCGGCCACCTCGCAATCTTTCTCCGGTGAGTTCGAATTTCAGTACTTCCACTGCTTTAGAGATTCCAGTCATCTTAAAAGTTAATGGACAGATCACTGACAGATCGGCTTTGATTGATTCAGGAACTGCAGGAAATTTCATTGACGCTAGTTTTGCAAAAACTCATAATATTCCTCTTGTTCCCTGTACGTCTCATTTGGCAGCGGCATCTCTAGATGGCCATCCGCTGGGCACTGGCCAAATTCAATTCACTACCATGGACCTTCAATTATGCACTGGAGCTCTTCACACCGAATCTATCCGTCTCTTCGTATTTCAATCTCCACAAACACCTATCATTCTGGGACTGCCTTGGCTAGACAAGCACAACCCCTCACTCTCATGGTCCGAGGGACAGATTACACAGTGGTCAGAGTCCTGCCGTCAGAATTGTCTCAACGCTTCACCGGTCAGAAAGGAGAGGAATTGCACGCCTGTCAGCCAATTTCCTGCTGAATATCACAATCTCAGGGAGGCCTTCAGTAGGATTAAGGCTTCACAATTACCCCCTCATAGAACGAGTGACTGTGCAATCGAACTCCAACCTGGTTCACATCCTCCCGAGGGGAGGGTTTTCCCCTTATCTCAACCTGAAGTAGAGGCTATGAAGTCCTATATCGAAGAGGAACTCGCCAAGGGGTTCATAAGACCATCCACATCACCTGCCTCTGCTGGGTTTTTCTTCGTTAAGAAGGATGGAGGTCTCCGTCCTTGCATTGATTACAGAGGACTCAACGATCTCACCATAAAGTTTTGCTACCCCTTGCCTCTAGTCCCTGCAGCTCTGGAACAGCTCCAAAAGGCAAGATATTTCACCAAGCTAGATTTGCGCAATGCTTACAACCTCATTTGCATCCGTGAGGGTGATGAATGGAAGACTGCTTTCTCTACCACGACTGGGCACTACGAATATTATGTTATGCCGTTCGGGCTTGCCAGCAGTCCTTCAGTGTTCCAGGCCTTCATCAACGATGTGTTCAGAGACATGTTAAATCGCTGGGTCATCGTTTACATAGACGACATCTTAATCTATTCAGACTCGTACGAGGATCATGTCAAGCATGTCCGGTCGGTCTTAGAACGTCTCATCAGCCACCAGCTATATGCCAAAGCCGAGAAGTGTGAGTTTCATCAGGAGACAGTATCCTTCCTCAGATACGTGATCAGTTCAGGAGGGGTGGCCATGGACGACAAGAAGGTACGAGCCGTGGTTGACTGGCCTCTACCTGCCACCTTAAAGGAAATACAACGCTTTCTAGGCTTTGCCAACTTCAATCGGAGATTCATTCGTAACTTCAAAACAGTGGAAGGTCCCATGACTTCTATGACAAAAAAGGGTAGTCGATGCCTCGAATCGTCCCCAGCAGCCCGTTCAGCCTTTCAGACCCTCAAGGAGAGATTTACCACAGCACCCATCTTGTACCATCCCGACCCAGAACGAGAGTTTATTGTGGAGGTGGACGCATCCAGTACGGGCATTGGAGCAGTTCTCTCTCAACGACATGGTAACCCGCCTAAGTTATATCCCTGCGCCTTTATTCCCGTAAACTTAATTCCACTGAGCAGAATTACGATGTGGGCAATCGAGAACTTCTGGCCATGAAGGTCGCCTTTTGAGGAGTGGCGTCACTGGCTCGAGGGTGCCAAACACCCCTTTATTGTACTCACTGATCACCGCAATCTGGAATATCTGAAATCAGCCAAAAGACTCAATCATAGACAGGCAAGAT